CGGGGAAAACCCTGTGGATTCCTGGGACACTTCCCTGTATGCACACAGCAGGTGGGCTAAATATTTGTCCCAGTCCTGTGGGTGCTGGTCCATAAATTTTTTCAGCATCATCTTTAGGGTCCCATTGAAGCTCTCCACCAGCCCGTTCAACTGAGGGTGATACGCCGAGGCCCAGGTGTATCAGACCCCACACTTCTCCCACAAGCACTGGAGCAGGGTTGACATGAAGTTGGCCCCCTGGTCTGTAAGGACCTCTTTGGGGAACCCCACTCTGCTGAAAATGGTCAGCAGCAGGTCTCTGGGTGACTCCCCTTCTGAGTTGATGTGGGTCTCCCTCCTCCCCACCCCAATCTGCTGTTCACAAACTCATCCGCCACTGTGCAGATCTTTAGGCTTCCGGTCCACTAACTACATCTTAAGGTCTGGAGGGCAGATGTCATACAGCTGCTCCAACCCCACCAGGTTATACACATCCTCTGCAGCAGTTTCCCCTGTGCCCTTCCCCAACTTGCGGAGATATTCCCCCAGCAGGTTGGCGACCTCCTTGTAGGTGACACCTGCGATCTTGCATACACCCCGGAATCGTTTCCTGTACGCCTTGGGGGTCAGTTCAAACTTCAGCAGCAAAGCATGTTTGAACAGGTCATAGTCCCCCGTCTCAACACCATCCATTTGGCTGAATGCCTCTATGGCCTTGGGACCCAACAGGGGGGTCAGACAGCGGAGCCTGTCTGCAGGGTCAATCAGGTGCAGATCACAAACCTTCTCAAAGACTGTGAGGTAGGCATCAATATCCCCCCGCTCTCCTTGAACTGGGGCAGCAGTTTGGTGTCTAGATTACCCACCACACTGGCATCGCGGGGCCCTTCCTTACCTACCCCCCGGCAGGCCCTCTTGGCCCGTCGCTCCTTCAACTCCAACTCGTGCTTCCGCTGTACTGCACGGTCCGCCAGCCTCCGCTCCTCCAGCTCCAGTCTCCGCAGCCCCTCCAGGGAAAAACCTGGCTGCCACCCATCCCCCTGCTGACTGGGGAGTCGGGTCTGATAGACTCCCAGCTGCTACATGGAGTGCCCCCATGGTTCCCCCACGGCTCCCTGGGCTTCCTGGGGGGGGGAGGGGTCTGGAGCCTGTTTCTCAGGCTGGTCATTCTCCATAAGCTGAGTCATGAGCTGCTCCTTAGAGAGCCTCCCCATGCTCAGCCCTCTCTCCCTGCACAGACGTGCCAGGTCTCTCTTACGGAGCTGGTTCTAGGCCATTTCTGTGCTGGTTCCTTTCAATTCCTTCCTTTTATCGCTGGCAGCAAGGGCTGGCTCCAGGCACCAGTGTAGCAAGCAGGTGCCTGGGGTGGCCAATGGAGAGGGGGGCAGCATGTCCGGCTCTTCGGCGGCAATTCGGTGGTGGGGCCGTCACTCCCTCTCGGAGCGAAGGACCTGCCGCCGACATTGCCACTGTAGAATGAAGCGGCGGTAGAGCTGCCGCCAATCGCGATCGCGGCTTTTTGGGGGGGTTTTTTGTATTTTTTTGGGGCAGCAAAAATGCTAGAGCTGGCCCTGCTGGCAGGCACTCACTGCAGAGCGCCTGCGCTCGTAGCCAATCATCTACAGGGTGCATCCACCAACCATCCTCTGCTACCACGTTGTCATGGACTCACAGGTCGTGCCCACTCTTGGCCCCATACTACAGGGGGTTCCCTGGGAGGAACCCCCTTTAGTACGACAGCCCTTCTCGGGGGTCCACTCTCTCTTGGGGGTTAAGCCCCTCCGCCTCCTGGAACTGCACCTCTCTGAGCCTTAGCATGCCTGTCTCCCGCCGTGGGCCCTCTCAGGGAGTCCACTCACTCTGGACCCCTGGGGCCTCCACTCCCAGAGGGAATTTTGCCCCCCATTCTCTAGACCGGAGAGACTCTCAGCCAGCATAAAACAGGAGGGTTTATTGAGATTCTGAACACAACATAGGAAACTCTCAGGGCCTCAGGCCTGGCCTCCCTCAGCACAGCACATCCAAGTCTCCCCTGCATCCAGGTGGCCTCTGCCTGCTCTCTCTCTCCAGTCCCAAGCCCCCCCTGCTTCCCCGCTGGGCATCCGATATCACCTCCCCCAAGCCCCGCCTCTGTCCTTTTGTCTTCTGTCCAGGTAAACAAGGTTGCCTGGGCCTCCTCTCCTCTCAGCCGTCCTTTGTTCCCCTCTGGCTGGAACCGGCTGGTCAGGTCACCGGGTCCTCTCTCCGCAGCCCATTGTCCTCCCACTGGCCAGAACCAGCTGTGACTCCAGTGACTCCTGGTCACCAGGTCACCAGTCATTGGGGTGTCCATTCTCCCAGCCATTGGCCGGGGTCCCAAGTTCCGTCGCCGGTCCTCTGTAATAACAAACTCCCTCTCCCATCACCTCATTAAACCAGTAACACCCAGGGAAACTGAGTCCCACCCCCTCAGCATGCAAACCATTGAAAAGACCAAGAAAATCCCCGACTTCGTCACAGCCTGTTAGTAAACTTGGAACGCAAGAATCTCAACCCTCCCCCTCCCCCCCGCCGAGTGCAATATGCAACCCTGGGTACCCCCCATCCTGCTCTGTCAGCAGAGAACGAAGGGGCGGATGCAACTCGGAGCCTTGTGCAATCTCTTCACGGAAGTCCAGGCCACCCAGCAGCATGGGACGGGGACGCTGGGGCCACACACGGGGGAGGCTGGAAGCTCATAGGGATGGGGCTGGGGGGGCCGGGAAGGTCGTGCAGATGTGGGGGGGTGGGCTGAGCTGGGGATGCTCTGCCAGGATGTGTGTGTGAATCCCACTCCCCAGGCACCAGGGGAGACCCAACAACAGGTCTCCTGCCCCACACAGGGGAGCTCCAGGGGGTGTTGTGGCTGCTTCAACACCCCTCCTCCCCATGCACACCGTGTAATCCCCCCAGGGGACCCTGAACCTGACTCACAGCAGCTGCCATCTCTGGTTGTGGAGGTGGTTCCAGACCTGAGGGGCTCTGTTTGGGGGCAGGGCTCAGGCCTAGGGGGGGCTCTGACTGGGGGTTCCAGGCCTGGGGGCGAAGTCTGGTGGGGGACAGGTTACAGGTCTGAGGGGGGCTGGGGGGGTCCAGGCCTGGGGCGCAGTTCCCTGCAGTGGCAGAATGATGCACGGGAGTGTCTGGCTGGTGGGGAGGAAACAGGTCTGTGGCCAGTGCCTAGGGGTGGCTGGGCGGGCACTGCCATCTCTTGCCAGGGACCCAGGCAGTGGAGAGAGCGGGTTCAGCCCTTGTTTGCTGGCTGCAGGGGCCTAGAGCGAGCCCCCAGGTGGTGATGACCCCTGAGCTGTGCTAGAGAGGAAGGAGGTGGGACTAGCAAAGGGCCCGAGTGGGGAGGTCCTGAGAGGCAGTGGGGAAGGGGAGGCGATGGGGAACCGGCCCCGGCTGGGCTGAGCTTTGCACCGGCTTAGAACCAAGTGCCGGCCCTTTGGCTTCAGCCTGTTTATGTCCGGATGGACCCTGCGCTCCCTAGGCCACCTCACAACCCACCCACCCCATCCCTGTGCCAGGCGTTGTTCCCCAGGGCCGCCACCTGCCCTGCAGCCCCTTGCACCAGCCTGGCTGGGTACTGGCAAATCGGGGCCTCGTCTCTCTGCCAGCCGGGCCCCCCACCCCCTTGTAATGCAGGTGATGGGGCAGGGGTAACCCAGGGGTGGGGGGCAGCCCTGTGTGCCAGCCGAGGGCCAGGACCAGCTGCTCTGCTGGGAGCATGGGCGGGGCAGGCTCTGCCCCCCGGCTGAGCTCCGCGGGCGTGTCTCACAAACTCGGGGCCGGCTGGTGCTGTGGGGGTGCTCAGCCATGGGGCCCAGCTCCTCTCTGGTTGACCCAGGGGCCAACCTTATCCCCCCAGTGCGTGCGGCAGGACCCCTCTTTGCGGATAAAGAGCCAGCAGTGGAACAGGCTCTAACCCCAGCCCTCCCTCCCCCGCTGCCCCAGCCCCCGCACGCAGCCCCAACCCCCACCGGTGTGGCCCAGCCCTGCCACGGGTCCTGTCCCTTCCGTATTTACTCTCCATCTAGAGCTGACAGTCCCGCACAAAGCAAAGGCTCGCCCTGGCTCCTTGCCCCGGGGCCCATCCCCCACAGCGAGGCACTGTGTGTTGAGGGAGCAGCAAGGCCCTCCCCGCCCACTCCTCCCCATCCCCAGCCCTTCAGAGAGTTTGGGGTCAGAAAGGCCCATTGGGCTCAGCCAGCCTGAGCTGAGGCCCCTATGCCGGAGCAGGGCCTGTTGCACCGTAGGGCAGCCCTACGAACCCCCCTCCCCTGCCTGGGGGAACCCTGAGCTGGGGCGGCCCTGCAAGCCGGGGACTGGGCTCCCCCTGCAGCAGACCTCTAGGTGAGGGGCTGGCCAGGGATCTCCCGCCAGGATCCTGGCACCGGCTCCTCGCACCCCTACCAGCCAGAGCACAAGCGCCTGCAGTGATGCCCGGCTCTGGGTCCGGCTGTGGGGGCTGCGCAGGGCCAGGCTGGGGCTCTCCAGGGTATTGGTTCCCTTGCCCTGCATGGATCCTGGTCGTACCCTGGCCTGGGGGGCCAGAGTCCCAGACAGCTCTGAATACGCAGCTGTGAGCCCCCCTTTACCACCTCTCGGGGCTCCCTGCCCCACACACAGCTTGGGCTGCACCCCAGATCCCTTTGCCAGATCAGCCACGTGGTGGTGCTGCACCCCAATCACCCATCCCCCAGGGCTGGGCTCACTAGAGACCCCGTCGCTGGGCTCTAGGCAGCACTTAGCCAGTTGGAGGCCCAAGGCTGAGGACAGAGCTGTTGAGTGGGGTGGGGGGGCAGGTATTGCCTTGGGGTGGGTTGGACCTAGAACAACACAGGACTCCATTAATATCCCCTCCTCTTCCCCCCCCACCCCCCACTTGGTGCTTGGATCCGCACACAGCCCAGACCTATGGTCGGCAACAGCCCCAGGTCCCCCCACCCCACGGCCGACGGAGGGCTCGTCCGCTGGCTGAGAACAGACAATGCAGCCGATACTAGATACACAGGGATCCGTTTATTGAGGCAGTGATAGAAAAATGACAAGGTGTAAATCAGGAACAGACAATAAATAGAGCTGTGAAGGCAGGGCCCAGCTGGCCTCCGCCACCTCACTAGGCCAAGGATGGTGGGTAAAGGGACAGTCCACACTGGCACTCTGCTAAGGCAGCGCAGAGCCTATCACTGGCGGCCCACGCGGGCCCCCCCAGAGACAGGGCAGTTCCTCTTGCCACCAGCAGGAGGCACCGGGGCAGGGCAAAGCCAAGGGCACAGCTCGCGTCCGGCATGAGTCCGTGCTTGAGTCCAACGTCCTCCCCTGGGGCAAGACAGGATATGGGGTCCCCCTAGGGGCAGGGCAGCACCAAGGCAGCTCCCTGATCTGGGGCAGCCCAGCCCCCTGTCACCCCAGCCCTCAGAGGCACCGGAGGCGGCGCGAGATGGTGGAGAGCACACGCGTGTAGGCCTCACGGAACTGGCGGTTCATGGCGGCGTACAGCACCGGGTTGATGCAGCTGTTCAGCCAGGTCAGGTTGGCAGCCACCATGTGCAGCGCCGTGGGCGCCCGGTTCTTGGCGTCAAAGATGTTGAGGAGGAGGAAGGGGATGTAGCTGAGGACGAAGAAGAGGAAGACCACGAAGCACATGCGGGTGACCTTCCGGAACTCCTTGTTGCTGTCCTTGGGCTGGGAGGGCAGGCTTTTGGGCACCGCCGGGGCCTGAGCCGCGGGGGCGGGGACAGGGGCTGGGGTGGGGGCTGGGGCTGGGCCATTTTCCGTGACCAGCGTCTTGGAGGCGTGGCCCTGCTCCGAGATGCTGGAGGACTGGGAGACGCCCGTGTCCACGCCGCTGTCCAGCTCCACAGACTGGCCCGGCGTGGCCGAGCTGGCCCCAGCGACATAAGCCCCCTTCACGCTGGCCTTCTTCAGCTTGTAGTGGTCCATGGCATGGGACGCCACCTTCACCTTGCGGTGGATGAGGAAGTAGAAGATGCCCACGCAGCTGAGGCCCACCACAAAGTAGAAGGCCATCAGGATAGTGGTGTAGGGCCGGCCCCTGATGCGGTGGAAGCTGCAGGTGCAAACCTTGGGAACCAGCACGAAGACGGGCCAGAGCGGGGCGAAGCTGGCGAAGCCGAGGACCCAGGTGCCCAGGGCCACGAGCCCCACGCCCAGGCGGGAGAAGACCCGGTTGAAGAGGGCCGGGTTGGCGATGAGCATGTAGCGGCTGACGGCGATGAGGCAGAGCGTCAGGATGGAGACCGAGTTGGAGACGAAGAGCAGCATGCCGAAGACGCGGCAGAAGCTGGGGCCGGCCCGCCAGTGCAGGTGCAGGTAGGAGTCCACGGAGAAGGGCTGCAGCACGGCGCAGTACAGCAGGTCGGCCAGCGTTAGGTTGACGATAAGCAGGTTGAAGCGGGTCTGCACCTTGGCGTCGGCTGCGAAGGCCAGGAGGGTCAGCACGTTGCCCAGCGTGCCCACCACGGTGACCACCACGCCCCAGCTCACGGCCACGTAGCGGTACCCCACGATGGATGCCTCGTAGCACGAGAAGTTATCCTCAGTGATGTTCGCCATCATCTCAGGAAGGGGGAGGGCCAGGTCTCGGGGAGGGGGTCGGGTCCCGGAGCACGGTCCTGGCCTAGATCCTTGGCTTCTAGGAACAGAAGTAAAAGAAAAGGGGTCAGGCAAAGCACAGCCCCCTGCCCCAGGAGCCCCTCCCCGCATTGCTCCGGCTGAGCCGGAATCAGCCACACATTCAAAGCGTCTCCCCCGCCAGGGGAGGCACAGACAGGCCGGGCATCGCATAGCTGTGCCCCAGTTCACCAGGGCTGGGGGCACCACCTGGGCTGGGCCAGCTGGGAAGAGGCAGCAGGGCAGGACATCCCTTTGCTCCGTTTGCCAGCCACAGCAAAACCCAGGCCAGGGCATGAGTTAGGGCAGCCGGAGGCTCCTGCCCTTGCACCCCAGCTGGCTGGGCCTTGGCAGCCTGGGGTCTGGGGCGGGTGAGCTGCTCGGCTCAGCTCCAGCCCAAAAGGAGCTGTAAGCAGAGAGGGCTGGGAGAGTGGGGGAGGGGAGGGGAGAGGCGGGGAGGCGGAGCTGGGGTGAGGGTGGGGAGAGGCAGGATGGAGGAGTGTGGGATAGGAAGCGCAGAGAAGTGGGGCACAGATCCTCCTATTAAACCATCTGGGGCTGGGAGCCCATCCTGACTCACAGGCCTCAGGCCACTAGAAATACGGGGGTCTCTCCTGGCTGCTGTGGGCTGGACTGGCCTCCCCCACGGCTGGGACCCAGACCCCTCCCCAGGGCCCCACCGCCCTGACATGGCTGTATAGTTACAGAGGCACCGTGTCCTAGTGGGAGGCCATGAGGGCTGGGACTCAGGACCAGCTCCGTTCCCAGCTCTGCCACTGGCCTGCTGGGTGCCCATGGGCATGTCACTTCCCTGTTCAGTGCCTCAGTTTCCCCTCCCCCTTGTGAGCTCTGTGGGGCAGGGAGTCTCTCTCACTCCATGTCTGTTCAGCGCCTGGCCGGGGAGGCTGTGACGAAGTTGGAGATTTTTGTAGTGTTTTACATGAATAGCGTGTGCGTGCCTCAGTTTCCCTGTGTGCTGCATGTTTAACAAGGTGGTGGGAGAGAGTTGTAGTTGCAGAGGACCAGGTACGACCTCGCCTAGCAGCTGGGACCCCCAGACAATGACCTGGAGATGGGGAACCCTAACAACTGGTGACTAAGAGGCCCACCCCAGCTTGGCAGTCAGCTGGTTCTGGCCAGTGGAAGGACAATGGGCTGAGGAGAGAGGACCCGGGGTGACCTGACCAGCCAGTTCCAGCCAGAGGGGAACAAAGGAGGGAAGAAAGAGTGCCCCAGCCACCTGTTTACCTGGGACAGAAGACAAAGGACAGGGGAGGAGCTGTTGGGGCCCGTGATCAGGGCCGGCTCCAGGCACCAGCTTTTCAAGCAGGTGCTTGGGGCAGCCACTCCGGAGAGGGGCGGCAGGTTCAGGTATTCGGCGGCAATTCGGCGGACGGTCCCTCACTCCGCCTGGGAGTGAAGGACCTCCCGCCGAATTGCCGCGGCAGATCGCGATCGCAGCTTTTTTTAGATCGCGATCGCGGCTTTTTTGTTTGTTTGTTTGTTTGTTTTGTTTTGGCTGCTTGGGGCGGCCAAAACCCTGGAGCCGGCCCTGCCCGTGATATAGGAGCCTCAGCAGGAAGGAGGGGGTCTCTGGGCTGGGAGGAGAGAGCAGCCAGAGCCCACATGGTTGTGGGACAGACCTAGATGTGCTGTGCTGAGGGAGGCCAGGCCTGAGGGTCAGAGAGTTTCCTGTGCTGTGTTCAGATGTTCAATAAACTCTCCTGTGTTATGCTGGCTGAGAGTCGCTCCGGTCTAGAGATCAGGGGGTCCTGGGGGTCCAGAGCAAGTGGACTCCCTGAGGGGGCCCAGAGAGGTGCAGTTCCAGGAGGTGGAGAGGCTTATCCCCTGGGAGAGAGTGGACCCCCGAGAAGGGCTGTCCCACTGAAGGGGGTTCCCCCCAGGGACCGTATGGAGTCCTGTGAGTCCGTGACAGAGGCCCCTGTTGTGATGCACCATTTCCCCTCCAGCCACAGCCCTGGGCCCCACGCTGCCCCGGGAGGGGAGAGCAGGGAGCAGCTGCTGGATCCCAGGCAGGCCCGGGCAGGCCCCTGGAATGATGCACCAGCGAGCAGGCCCCTGGCAGCCTCCCAGCAGGGAGATCACACGCGACCCCATTCTTTCCATCCCAGGCCTAATTGGGGCGTTTCCACGGAAACCGATGTCTCAGATGTCTGCAGAGCAGGTGAGGCCCCACCTGGCTCCCTTGTGAGTTAGAACTGAGCCAGCCCCTTCCCCAGCCCTGGGCATGCCGAGGTGTCAGGGTACCTGGGGGAGCGGCATAATGAGCCCCATCAGCCTGGAGCCAAGCGCCCTGCTCACACGCCCCGGCGAATACACAGGAATCTGCACTCCTTTCCCCAGAGGGCATCATCGCGCCAGGCGCTGCACAGACACAGCCTGAGACAGTCCCTGCCCCCAGAGCTCAGGGCAGGGTCTGTGACCCTCTGGGGAGGGGACATGCTCCCTGGCCCGGGGGGGGAATCTGTCTCCCAGCTGATGCAGAGGGCTTGGGGCTGGCACAGTGCAGGAGACCCCAGCTCTAGTGCAAGCTACTCCAGATCTCGCTCTCTTGCTTTGCAGCCACCCTGAGACCCCGCCCACCGGGGCCCACGGGCTCCAGTCCAGAGGGCAGAGCCCTGGCTCTGTGGCGGCGGCGTGGCCCCAAGGAGGATTCAGTGAGCAGCAGGGACTGGTAACAAGGCTCCCAGCTCCGTAGGAACAGCCCCACTGAGCCCAGAGCCGCGTGCGAAAGGGAACAAGCATCGTACGGAGAAGCCCCGCTGGCTCTAGGACAGAGCACTGCCGGAGCAGGCTCAGAACACACCCCAGCTCAGCAGCCAGGAGTGGGGGCTACTCCCCCCACACCAGCTCCTATCTGGGCACTAAAGGCCAGATTCCCATCTCCTCCCTCAGAAGCCCCCTTACCCCATGAATCACCGCACTGGGGACAGCGTGGGCCCTGGGCACCCTCAGCGCTGCCCCTTCCCCCAAGCCCGATAAGCCGCAAGGAGCTGAGGACTCTGGCAATCAGGCGAAAGGCCCAGGAGACCGGCCAGCCCCTCTGCCCCCCACGGACCCTGTTTCCTAGCCACCCCCTAGCCTGCCATCAAACCCTGTGCCTGCCCTGCGTGCGCCACCCTCCCTCGCCCCGGGCGCAGTGCCCGCTCTGGCTGTGAGAGTTCCCCCAGCAGGGCAGTCCGTGACTCAGCCCCTCACAGATCTGATCAGCACCAATGGTGGCTGCACACCGCCCCCTGCTGGACAACCCGGAGCCACAGGGCCTGCACTACAGTGAGCCCAGCCCCGCATGGCTAGGCGCAGACCATCCGGGAGGGTCAAAACGCAGAGCAACTTACCGAACCGAGGAGTAGATGTGCCCAGCTGTGCTTGGAGCGATCTGCTGGCACAGCCTCGCTCGCTGGCTATTTATGGGCTTCACACCCCGGCAGCAAGAGAGAAAAGCCCCGAGTTGCCAAAGCCCGTGAGGCAACTTCCTCCTTCCTGGGTGCAGGCGTGAGCTGCGGCGCTGTTTGGAGAGAGGAGATTTAACACAGGAGCTGAGGCTGGGGGTGGAGGCGTCAACCACAGCAGAACACACAGGGCTCCCGGGAGCACCAGGGCAAGCGCACGGTGTTGGGTCGGGGGCTGCATGTTCCCTGCCAGAAGGGAGCGCCAGGGGGCTCAGAGGGGAGGGCTGGTGCTTGCAAGGGGCCGTGGCGGGGGCAGGGCAGGGCTGGGCTGGCCACGAAGGGGTTCAGCGCTGAGGAGGCTGCCTGCAGACACCCTGTGGCTCTCCCTGGCTCCTGGCTGCGGGCCTGCGCTGGCAGGGTCCCCACACGAGGTTACCCTAAGGCCTGGCCTGCCCCAGCAGTCACACCAGGGCTTGGCAATGAACCAAAGCCCCAGCGCTCCCTCCCTCCCTACCCCACGCCGGGGGAAGGTGAGATGTGGCCCAGCCAGCCCTTAGCCGAGTGCCGAGCCCCCACATTAGACTGCCCCATTGCAGAGCCTGCAGGCGACTGCTCAGGGCTCTGCCCCGGGGGGGGGTGGGTTGTGTCTGCTGGGGGGCAGGTCTCCCCTCCTGCAGAGCTCCCTACTGGCCCCCTCCCCAGCCATGGGGCCGCAGGGCAGGGGGCCATAGGGTAGGGAGTTATTTGAAGCCCTGGCATGGAGCTCGTGGGGTGGCCAGGGGGTGCCAGCTGCCCCCCGATTGCTGTCAGCACCTCTTGTGCCCCCTTAGGCCAGGGCTCAGGAGCTGCTGCGGCCTGGGAGCTGATGAGCCAGGCTCCCCCTGGAGCTTCTGCAACTTCCAACCCTGATATTCTATGATTCTATGACCCCCCACCCCCACATGGGCACCAGCAGCCCCGGTGCTCAGAGCCGGGCTTCCCCTCTGGGGAAGGGAGACTCCATTTCTCCCACCCCACCCCTGCCGAGGAGCCCCAGCCACACGGGTGCCAGACACCACAGCGCCCACGGACCCCAGCAGCGCCACACGCTGGCAAGCCCCAGAGCCCTGCCGCCAGCAGCTGCCAGTCACACACATTGGTGGTTAGCGCCAGCAGGGGGCAGCGCAGCCTGCGAGCCCGACTGGTGTGAGTACAAGTTCCGGGGGATGTGGGGGCTGTTGGATGGTTAGAAGCGAAGATTGGCACCCAGGACGCCGGGGTTCTATTCTCTTAGCAAGAGGCAGTCAGGACTCCTGGATTCTTTTTCCCACTGACTGACCCCAGGCGAGTCTCTTCCGTGTCAGGCCCAGCTACCCAGCTGGTTCCCGGGGGCGAGACACAGTGGGCACTCTGCCACTCACGCCAGGGCTCAAAGCATGGGAGAAGTGCCAGGGAAATAACCCGCTCAGCAGCAGGGGAATGGTGCCCAGAGCTGGCTCCCAGGCCTATGCTCTAACCATTAGGCCGCCAGCACTCACAGGAAGGTCCGACAAAAGCTGTAAGAACCAGTCAGAGACCCGTGGGGGAGAAGGGCAAAGCGCTGGTGTCCCTGGGACTCCCCCGAGGAATGTGAGGGATCCCCGACAGGGAGCTGAGCACCCTTCCACCCTGCCCCCCACTCCCCCTTCCCTTGCGGAGCTGAGCATCCCCTGCCCCCCACTTCCCCTTCCCTTGTGGAACTGAGCACCCTCCACCCCCCTTCCCTTTCCCTTGTGGAGCTGAGCACCCCCATCCTGCCCCCCACTCCCCTGCCCCTGTTTTATTGTCCCACGGGCCATGGCTTGCAGAGCCTCGAGGGAGGTGGTGCTTGGAACTCATCCACACGGCACAGCGGCCTGTGGTCAAAAGGGGCATTGCAGCAGGAAGGGGCCCTTCTCTGCCGGGTTTGGCGCTGGGGTGACTGCTGATTTCCCAGCATGCACCGGGGTGCTAGCCCACACTCTGCTCCGTGCATGGCTCAAGCTGGGTTTGCCATAGCTGAGAGCACCCAGACCACTGCCCCCATCCGTCGGCTGCATGGGGCGCTGCAGGCAGCACGCTCCGAGAACCTCCCTCCGCCTGCGGTTTGCCACAGGCCCGCTGAGTTCTCTTTAGGACTGTTTTTAACCAGCGAAAACTCTTGGGCTCCCAGATGAATTAACGCCAATAAAGCATAGATTTACACAACACATTAACCTGCGGAACTGCCTGCCACTGGGGCTCATTGAGGCCAAAGAAGCACGGTTCACAAAAGGGCTCCATGTGGATGCTGTGGACATGCACTTTTACGCCAGAGACTTGGATATAGCCATAAACCCTTGTGCTCCAGACCCAATTTTTCCAGGGCCCTCAATCGGCCGGGACCCATGGGCACGGGGCCTGTTGGCCCAGTGGCTAATCCAGGGCTTTGCTGGCTGGCCCACCCCTCTCCACAGGCCATTGCCTGCTTCTAATATTAAATGCATGGGAGCCTACAGACTTCCTAACTCCATAGGGAGCCCTGCTGCCTTCAGTGCCCACCCGGGGGGCCTGCCACATTCAGCACCTGCCCGGGGGCCCTGCTACTGTCAGCGCCAGACGGGGAGTCCTGCCACAGTCAATGCCCACCCAGGGGCCCTGCGATGTTCAGCACCAGTCTGCACACCCTGCCTTCTGGGGCTGGCATTCTACCCTGTTGCTGGTAAATGCTCAGTGGCTGCATCTTGGGCACAAACTCTAAACTCCCAAGTGACCCTGGCCTTGATTTATGCTGTTGCTATATTCTGGCCTTCTGTAGTGCGCCTCTCTGGGGCTGGCCCATGTGAAGGATAAGCGCCTGCTGCTAGCTGCGGGAGTTACTCTGCTAGCTTCTCAGGGAGTGTGC